TTCCTAGTTATCATAATTCACGTGTGGACAGGTTATTCCGTTCTATAAATGTTGTTCGAATAAAATTGGAACTACCGCGAGCGGCCGTAAGCTCGACGGGGACAGCACTGACCAGACATTGAAGTCTCCAACGACCATCGCCTACTCTAACGTTCGCCACGGTAAAAATCACTAGACATTTTTCATCATTATTGAATATATAATTTTGTTCACAAAAAATTAAGTCAATGACAATCATTAATAATTATTAACAATTCCTAGTGTAACACAAAAGAAAATCAAGTAAGTAATAACTTTGCACAATCACGAAAACATTTCTTAATGATTACGCTAACTTTCGAGTAAGCTCTAAATTTCATAATTACTCCACTTTCCATCCAAGTTCCAACAAAATCAGTGTAACGCATCTTTCAGTATGAAATTCACTGTTTCTTCTCCAACAAACATCTCTAATTGTAGATTCAACTCGAGCTTCTGCTTTCGTGTTTTCACTTACAGATTTCCTAACTTACTTTCATTTCTACTTGTACTTTTGTTATTTATATTTTTCACTTTCATTTGTTACTTTTGTACAATAATCTATTCTTGTAGATCTACTTTCCCTGTTCTTTCCACGCTACTCAATTGTATCATAGCTTCAATACCCAATAAATATACCCACTAAAAATGAATAAAATAAAAGCAAATCACTCAAACAAATAAATAAACGAACTATTCAATCGATTAACGTATTCCGCCTTCGAAGTACGCGACAAAGATCTGTCGAAAACCCCTTCGATCCCAATCGACGTTCGCCAGGTGCCGGTAGATCACCCAAGGCCAGAACGCAGTGCAAGCTCATTCGTCGCTGAGCGTAAAAAGTTGCCTGCGGCCTCGCGTGCCGCGGATAAAAAAGAAGAAAAAGAGGAAGAAGAAGGAGAAGAAGAAGACGAAGACGAAGAAAAAGAAGAAAAAGAAAGGAGAAAGAGAAGAACCGGGTGAAACTTCGAGCGATTCTTATCGGCGATCCTGCTCCTCTTTTGTCTCCCGCGGAATCTCGCGAGGTCGTCTTCCTCTCCGAGGCCGTCACGTTTGCCGCCAGTCGATTCGAGAGCAACGGCCCACAGCTGGCCGCGGCCGGGATTTATA